ATTTGCAGCAAGATGCTGCATATCTTCTATAAGTCTGTTGTAGAGAGCGCTGTCTCTTCTGCCATCATCTGCTGGGGGAGCAGCACCAGAGCAAGTGACTTAAAAAGATCAACAAGCTCATAAAGAAGGCTTGCTCAGTTCTGGGGACTCCTCTAGGAGAACCTTTGGAGATGATTGTTCAAAGAAGGATTCTTCATCAAATGAAGAACATTATAGACAACCCTCAGCACCATCTTCATCAGGCTGTCATACAACAACAAAGTGTCTTCAGTCATAGGCTTCTTCAAATCCATTGTAGGACAGACGCTACAAGAGATCCTTCCTGCCCACAGCCATCAGCATCTATAACAACTCTTTAATGAAACCAGGATGATGAGTTACTACAACATATAATTTCCCTTTGGGGTTAATAAAGTAGTTTTGAATTTGAATTTGAATCCCTACTGACAACTAGGTATCTGTGTGTGCAACAAGCATCATCCACACCCTCAGAGTGAACATTTTCTACTGCTGGAGACACGATCAGCTAGGAGTGGGCTTGTTTGTGTCCAGAGAAAGCAGACATGTTGATGTTTCTGAAGAGCTGTTAAGTGAAAAGTTCCTCAGTGTGTAGCAGTGAGCATTAGACACTGACGTTTCACTTGTTGTTTGCAACTGTTCTTTTGAACTGGAAATTGTTTTTTTATGTAAGAAAACTGTTTTGAATAGAAAAATACAAACGTTAAAAAAATAAAATTCACAATTTGTATTGTAATGTGTAACATAATTTGTAATTTGTGTAACATAAAAAAAATTCAAGATGGCGCCCATCATGTAGGCTGCGTCTCGGAGAGCTCCTGATGGAAAACCAATTTTTATAACTGTATTCTCGCTACCGGAAGAGACCCGGTCCGCCGCCGTTTGGACCTGCGAGCCGCTGAAGCCTAGCCGCTGAAGCCGAGCTGTTTACGGCGGAGACCCGGTCCGCCGCCGTTTGGACCTGCGAGCCACTGAAGCCGAGCTGTTTATGGGGGAGACCCGGTCTACCGCCGATTGGACCTACGAGCTGCTGAAGCCGAGTTGTTTACGGAGGAGACCCTGTCCACCGTCGTTTGGACCTGCGAGCTGCTGGTCCGAGCTGTTTACTTAGGAGACCCGGTCCTATGCCGTTTGGACCTGCGATCTGCTGGAACCGGGCTGTTTACGTCGGAGACCCGTTCCGCCACCGATTGGACCTGCGAGCCGCTGAAGCTGAGCTGTTTATGTCGGAGACCCGGTCCGCCGTCGTTTGGACCTGCGAGCTGCTGGAACCGAGCTGTTTACGTCGGAGACCCGGTCCGCCGTCGATTGATCCTGCGAGCCGCTGAAGCCGAGGAAGCTAGACTACAGCTGTCGGATCTGGGAGCTGTTGCAACCGGGACCTGGTCTGCCACCGTTTGGGCCTGCGAGGTACTGGACCGAGTGAATCATGAGACCGCGTGGGACCTGGGGGTTGTTGCCGCTAGGCCTCGGCTAGACCTTGCTAGGCCTCGGCTAACAACATAAGCCTGTGAACCTCGTGGCTAGATCCCGTGCTTCTGAGAGTTGAGACCAATAATCCAGAAGTATCGTGAGTAATGCCGAGCAAACAGAGATAGAAGACAAGTGTTGGAAAATAATTCAGAAGATATGAAGTTAAAAAATCTTTGAACTTTTTGAATGCTGAACTGACTAAATTGAGTGCTGATGTGACTAAAGTATCAGCTAAATGTGAATTACTGACAGGACTGTTTGAAGAAGTGAGACAATTGAAAGAACTGATGACTAATAAAGACAGGCAAATAGCTGAACTGGAACAGAAAGTAGACGACATGGAACAATACACAAAAATAGACAACTTTGTGATGACTGGACTGGAAGTTAGGAACCGGAGTTATGCAAGAGTTGTTTCTGGTACTAACACTACAGAAGACGCACCACAGGAAGAACTACAGACTCTGGAGGAGCAAGTAGTGATTTTTTTTTACAAAACGAAGACATTGACATCAAACATGAGGACATTTCAATCTGTCACATCCTGCCCAACAAATCAGATAAAGCCAAACCATCCATAGATTGGCAATTCACACCTAATCTGCATATGTGTGTGTGTCTCATCTCACTCAGCCTTATAACCTGAATCTCTCACTCTCTGCTCTTTGAATTGAGAAAGCTCCTCGGATGAGGAGCGAAACGTCTTCTGTTACAAATAAAGTCCAGTTGTTTTTGTATTGAACGCTTTTTGAATTTCCCCTATGTAAGACTGATCACAGCCCTCCTGACACTGAACAGCATACACAACATTACTCTGTTTGTGCCGGGGGACTGGATCTTTGGGATGAACCAGTCTTTGTTGTAATGTATTTTGGGGTTTAAAAGCCACTGGGACGTTATGTTTAGAAAATAAACATCTCAGTTTCTCTGATACTCCCTCAACATACGGAATGACCACTGGTCTGGGTCTGGGTTCCTCCTTTTCACCTGATGGCTGACTGGAGTCCTGTTTGGGTTTCTTCTCTGCTTTCAGGAAGGCCAAGTTAGGATATCCACATTGCTCTAGAGCCTGTCTTGTGTGGGATTTCTCCTTCTGCCTGAGCAAGAGTCTTTATATTAGGGTTGCAAATCTCTTGTGTCTGGCGATTCGATTCATGTCCGATTTTTGGTGTCAATTTGATTCAAAATAGATTTTTTTTAAATTCAGAAATGATTTTCGATTCAAAAAACATTTTTCAATTGAAAAGGTCATACATTTTGTTTAAATTATGTAATTGTCGTATTTTCAAAATACGGTACTTCATTTTTATTTTACACTTCTTGCAAACAACCATGCTTCTGTCAAGCTCTTAGGAGGAGGAGAGGCCATTGCTTCGGGCACCCTTTAACATGTCTTTACGCTAACCTAATCTGTACTGGCCTCACCCCACAAATGTGTTTTACTTGAATTCTTGTAGCAAACTTAATTCCTCTCCCTCCAAGAAAGACAAAATAATCTGGTAATTTAAATACACAATTTTGTAACGTTTATTGTCAGTTTGAATAATAACAATATTAAAATTATGGCAAATATGGAATATGAATGAACAACCAATAGTATTATTTTAGAAAGTGAATGACATAAATATGGAGACTTTGAGAAGGAGTTTGGATTCAATTTGGACTAAGGTTCTTAGCTCTTAACGTTAAAATTTAGGTAAGCTTATCTCATATTTGTGAATTAATCATATCTAAACTAACTTAGTTGGCACTGTTTCGTAATCAGGGGAAGATGTTTCAGTCCTACCAGAAGACAGACACCATTTCTCATTTTCACAGCAGATGCATGAAGGAAGCCTGCTGTCCCAAGAAGGATGTCGTTTCTCAGGGCTGCGGTCCGTTCGGCACATACCTCTCGCTCCTGGGTGTTAGAGATTTTCAGGACGTCCACCGTCTCTCAGTTGGACTGAGTCAGAGCCAACTCTCCCTCCATCGTGAGACTGTCTCTCTCATGAGAGTTCCTTTCAGCTGCTGCTTGACGACCTGCCCAGTTCAGCTGCTCCCAAATAACTTTCTCCTCAGCTGCCGTACCACAACTGAACTGGTGTCCTGTTTTTCTGACACCTCAAAAGATTGTGCCCCTAATTTCCAACCAATCAGAGTGCTTCTCACAGTGAGTGTAACCTGACTCTATAATTAATGTAATTATAACCTCCCCTCTCAAAGTCTCAAAATAGTCTTTGTTAGAATGGGTGACACCTTGTTTACATCTCTTTCAGCACAATGCAAGTTTTGCTCTTAGCAAAATACAGTAAAACAGTCTTTCAGTCTTTGTTCAACTGAAGTTAACTTCCCTCATTGCTATGACGACTGGTCTCAGTTGAAAAGGCAAAGTGAAGTTCTTTGATGAAGATATATTTTTAAGGGACACAAAGTCTGTCTTTATAAAAGGGGTTAATTAGCACAGAGACTATGGATCCGGGGTGGTCAGGATGTCAGGATGGTCTAGGTGTGTAGATTTTAACACACAGAGAAGGAATAAACAAAGAAACTTCTTGTGTCAGAACAGAATGCCAGTAATTATCTCAGATTAGCAGAAAGGAAGGGGTGTAGAGACGCAGTGTCTCCGAGGACCTTGGATGGATGCTACATCCATCTTCCCTGGAACATTGTAGAATCTAAAATAACTTTACACAAAATTTTAATGACGAAGGAGCGGGCTGAATCACACTGTCCTCTGCTCCATCATAGCGGTTTCTATTCAAATAAAAGGAGCTGGCTAACTAGCTTGTCGCACAGTGGCCTGCACGGCCAAATTCTTTGGTGGCCAAGCGAACACGTAATGCAATATGTAGTACGCTCGGGAGTAGGAGTGGGAAAAAAATAAAACAAAAAACATTTTAAAATCGATTTATGGGTCTTCAGAATTGGCAGGACTAGGAATCTAGATTCTTTAATGATTTTTTTTTCCTGCACCCCTACTTTGTACATGTGGTTATCTGAGGCATTCACTCTCTGTTGCAAAAGCCCACCCCCAAGAGGGGTGGGTGCTGGGAACCATAAGCGCCCAGCTCTGTCAAAGGAAATGTTAGTCAGTGGCAGGAATTTACCGAGAGATGGCAGGAAGTCTGTCAAAACAAAATATAAATTCTGAAAATTCTGAAAGTAAATAAATAAATTAGCTGCTTTTGCATATAACCCGGGAGGTGGGGGGGTACAAAATGTGAGAAAAAAGTAGAGGCTTGTACACCGGCAAATACGGTACTTTTTATTTTATATGCTTTTATGATTCTCTATTGTTGTCTGTACCTCATTTGTGTTCTTTGTTTAAAACAGGTCTCTTGTAAATGAGTCCTCAAGGCTCATTGAGACTAACCTGTATAAATAAAGGTTGAATGAGTGCTTGGATTGATGCTTGGATGCTTTATTAATCCCGGGGAGAAATTTGGGGACAAAAATCAAACAATTACAACTATTTCTATGTTTGAAATTTAATCACGTTATTAAGCACACTCATATTTTTTATGCAGATGTAATTGATCTGACAGGGGATGATAAAGATGACCTGCAAAGGGCTATTGCCCTCAGCCTGGAGGAGTCCAACAGGGCTTTCAGGGAAACGGGCATCACTGATGAAGAACAAGCCATCAGTAGGTGAGTTCAGGACTGTCCCTTGTATTATAGAAGGATCTTAACATGCAAAAGTAAAACAAAAGTATTAACAAGGCTAGAATCTGTTTTGTTTTGGATTTTAGGGTTTTGGAGGCCAGCATAGCTGAGAACAAAGCAAGTCTAAAGCATACTCACACAGAAGTGTGGAGCGATTCACCCAACCCACATGACAGAAAGAGGATTGATAACTGCTCAGTGGGTCTGAAAAATGTTGGCAATACCTGCTGGTTCAGTGCTGTCATACAGGTGAGCACACACCAAAATCTACTCACAATGCTTGTTCAATAATAATGACAATAATTATTCATATTTAGTAATAATAAGCAGTTGAAATTCAAAACTTATTTGAAAGTTTTTAGGAGCACAGACCAGTATATCTCTTGTGCTGGTCCCAAGCCTGAATAAATGGTGAGGGTTGTGTTATGAAGAATATTTGATGTAAAACATTTTTTGCCAAAACTAATAAGCAAGTTCATCTAAGTGACACCATACCAGATCAGTCGAGGGCCAGGTTAACAATGATCACCATCAGTGCTGTTGACAAATGGAGTGCCAGCGAAAGTTGTGCTACTAGTCGAAGACCACAAGGAGAGAAACGTTTCTGGAAACATAGGGAAAAGAAGAAAGGCAAGAATGTAGGACTGATGGTTGCAACTCTAAATGTGGGGACAATGACGGGCAAAGGTAGAGAGCTGGCTGACATGATGCTGAGAAGGAAGGTAGATGCTTTATGTGTCAATAGCCTCTTATCCACAGGGCCTTTTCGGGCTCCTATGTAACCAGTTCAGGCCGATTCCGTAGTTTCTCCACAGTGCCTTCAGCGGTGGAACACGCACGATTTTTGGGACCTGCTTCTCTGGCGTCCCAGGTCTGGTTCTTGTTGGGTCCACATGTGACGTCAACGCACTGCCGGTCACTGATTGGTCAGGGGGAGGAGTCACTGGATCTTTCAGAAACTTTTCAAAACACCGATCCGCCATTTGCAATTTCTCAAACTGGAGTAGCGGCTGGACCTATTTTAAAGATTTTAAAAACAATAATGACAACACCGTGGCCTAATGCTGAAGTGCTAGGTTTTTTATGTGCTTGCTGGCCGACGCCAAAATTCATAGCGAGCTAGATGGAGCTCCGCCGGTCTACCCGGGTCCTCTCCACCGCAGCATCGGAGCCGGGCAGGGCGCCATCTCTTCGAGCTAAAAGTTATCTGTGGAAGTAAGTAAAAAGCGATATTTACTGTTTCGTTTTTTTGAGTTGAAAACTGTGTGTAAATGGTGTTAAAGTCTGTTTTTTTCAAGAGCTAAGTAGTAGAGAAGCTAGCTGGCTGTAGTTAGCATGTAGCTTCGTGTAGCTTCTCATCACAATATACTACCGGTAAATATCGCCTGGATATGAATTTTATGTCATATCAAACATCCCAGTTAAATGTTAGATACAGTAGAAATGTGGACAGACTGACCGGCCGGCAAAAAAACAAACAAACAACAAACAAAAAAACCCCGCGACTACTGCCGTGTTCTGTTCGGCCAGCATACATTGTCAGATCGCCATACGCGTAGCGCAAACTGACGGCTGCATCTACCCGCTGTGAGCTCACCATACGCTTCTATTTAATTAGCCGTATCACACCATGACGTAGCAGTTAACCTGTCAGATCATCATATACTTTGTTATTAACAGCTGTATGACACCCTGACACCTCAATCCGCACTGAATAACAGCTGTATGACACCCTGACGCCTCAATCTGCCCTGAATAACAGCTGTATGACACCCTGAATTAACAGTTAAGGCAGCGGAATGATTATATTGTCCTTATATTGTTTAAATTACATTCACAAAGCTCAGACTAACTTCACTTGCACTGTTTGCGCATAAACAAACAGAGTTTTCGCTCCACCTGAAGTCTAGCACATATTACACACAAAGCGTCACCAAAATGATTTACTTACGGTTCAGGAAATGCATTGCACACTGTAAATTGTGTAAATAAACAATAATACCATGTGTACTTTGCACCAAAACAATTTATTGACTTACTTTTTGTTGTATCTTGCAGTGTAGGATTAGACAGCTCCTCTGAACGTCACAGGCATATTGCAAAATGTGCATGTGCGTGCATGTGTATTAACTAAATGTATGCTACCATAACATGTATGCTGAATGAACAGAACACCGGCAACAACAAAAAAACCCTGACTTAATTAGCGTGTAGCTTCTCATCACAATAGACAATATCGCCGGGTTATGAATTTTATGCCATATTGCACATCCCGACTCTGTATCTAACATCTGACTGTTCTTACAGTCAGTAAACACCTGCAGATGTCCACAGTAGTGAAACATATGATCGTCAGCACTAAACAGACCTGTATTAACATGTAATGTGTATCATTTCAGGTTAATCAGTCAGTTCCTGTCTGAAGCTCCTCTAAATCCATGGGTGTCCTTGGAGAAGGATGGGGCAGTAATGTGTGGCCACTGCACTTTAAAGCAAGTATGTCATGACACAAACATTCAAAACTTGAAAATTACAGATAAAAGCAAAGGATAATGATGTTTAGAGGAGATTATAACAATGATTTTTTGTTGTTGTTTTGTCAGATGGGGATGAGAAAACAGCCAGCCAGACATATGAAGCCATTACTGGACCGCAGCATCAGGATCTGAGAGTTTGTGACTCCAGACTACACATCAACTGCAGCCGGTCATACCTCGGAGCTTCTCCAGACGCTCTGCTCTCCTGCACCTGCTGTGGCAATGGTGTTTTGAAAATAAAAGGCCCACATTGTGGGACTTCCGGGTATGGCCGCGAGGTAGGAGGTCGCATTCGATACTGCTCTTGATAAGAATCCTGTAAAATCACTTTAAAAAAAAAAAAGGTACACTCTAATAATAGCAACTGAGCTTGATTTGAGTGGAACAATGCCAGGCCCTGGAAGAACGAGTAAAGATAAACCAAAAATAACTACGCAATCCAGGTTGACGGACTTTGGACAACAAAGCATGGAACCAGGCACAAGCGAGGCTAGCAAAAAAGCTAACAAGGGGCCGAGTAATAGCAAGGAAGCTAACGTAGAGCCAACAGCTAACATGGACGAAAGGAATATCTCATCCGACGACAAAGAGGAAATACTTGGAGCAATAAAGAGCTTAAAGTCTGAGTTTTCCGGAAAATTCGATGGCGTTATGACAGCCATAGAAACAGTATGAAAAGAAGTGGGTGAGTGTGCCAAACGTTTAACGCATACAGAGGAACGTTTATCTACAATGGAAGACGAGCAAACGGTGTTAATTAATAAAGTTAAGAGCTTGGAAAAAACAAACAAGCTAATGGAGGAAAAAGTGGTTGACATGGAGATGAGATCATGGCTCAACAACCTTAGATTGGTGAACCTCCCTGAAGGTGCTGAGGGCTCCGATGCCTGTGGGTTTTTGGAAAGTTGGATACCAGAAGTATTGGATTTGTCTGCCCTGAGAAACCCACTGATTCTTGAAGAGCTCACCGCGTAGGCCCAAAAAGAAACGCAGAAGCACCCCCAAGAACTGTAATTATGAAGTTTCTTAATTATAAACAAAAAGATATGGTATTCAAAGCAACTAAAGAAAAGATGGATATCCTCTACAAGAACCAACGGGTGAGATTCTACAATGACGTCGCTACGGAGATACACAAACAACGCAAACAATATGTTGGAGTCCGCAAGCAGCTCTGCGAGCTTGGGCTGAGACATGGCATCATCCCTCCGGCTAAACTGGTGCTGACATACCAAGAGAAAACTTTTAAGTTCAACACGCCAGTGGAGGTCCAAACGTTCATTGATAGGATTCAAAAGGGGCAGATAAGTGTAATGGAGTGACTGAATAGATTAAGAACTGATGGAGCGTAATCTCAGTGCATTTCTTTGCTAAATATATAGTTTAGATAAGTTCATCATTAGGTTCATAATATATAACTGGGAATAGCTCCGAACTGTACACTTTGTTAAATATAATTTAAACTTATTGGTTCACTGTTGTATAAAGTTCTACCTTTGTTGTGCATATTAGAAAACACTTTATAGGCATAGAGATAACTAGATTGTTTGAATAGCAGGAGAAGGTTGGGTGTGGTCATGTTTGTTTGTTAATTGAGGTTTAAATTCAAGGGAATAGATCAAAAGGATCTATACATAACAGTGGTTGGAAGTAGTAGGTTGGGAGGGCCCGACCATTTGGTTGGGAATGGGGTTTTGATTTTTCAAAAGGTTCAGGGATTGAGTGTTAGGATGATTGCTCAGTTATTTTTGTTGCCCCTCTTGGATATATTTCAAATTCAATTCAAATTCAAAAATACTTTATTAATCCCAAAGGGAAATTATTTGTTGTAGTAACTTGTTATCCTCATTTCATTAAGAGATGTTATGGATAGTGATGGCTGTAGACAGGAAGGATCTCTTGTAAAGGCCCATCCCACAGTGGATCCTAAGAAACTGGCTGCAGATGCCGTCCAATCTGTCCACCCAGACTCGGCTGGCCTCTCGGTCCCCCTGGACTGTAGGACCACCCGAATGCTGGGCAGAACTCCTCCCAGCAGTCGGCCGAGCTCCTCGTCGCTGCGGACAGCCAACTGTAGGTGCTGAGGGACGATCCTGTCCTTCTGCTGTCATGAGCCATGTTTCCTGCTAGTTCCGGGATCTCAGTGGTCAGGCACTCGAGCACAGCTGGCGGGTAGATGAGAATGTGTCCACAGAGCATCCTTTTCAACTCATTTGAGATTTGGGGCTGTAGTTGAGATATTATTTGAGCTTTTGAGATGTTAATCAGCTGATGTTGGTTGTAGAAACTGCCTTGTTGCCATGGTTACGCATCATAACAAATGTCCAAAACTAAAAAAGTTTCAGTAAAAATCCTTCCAGCTGCACAGCATCTGATACCAGAGGAAACAATTCTTCTAAAAAAATGTGATTTACATCCAGAAAAAGAGGAATTAAAGTTTCCAAAAGCAAAATCTCAGAATGAAAGTAACAGAGCTGCTCCAACATGCAGCCACCTGGAGCGGCGCAATTCTAGAACTAATATACTACTATACTACTATATTATACTACTATTAAATATTTGAAGCATTATCACCTCTGTGTTTTTTGAATAGATATGATGCAGGAGATGGTAATTAAATGTACATCCTGGAATTGTAGAGGCTTACATAAAACAAAAAAAAAAATCAAACAGGTCATGAACAAGCTGAAAGATTTGAACTCTAAAGTAGTA